CCCTGCCTGGTCCTGCTCCCCAACCCCACCCAGGCTGCTCCCCAACCCCACCATCAGTCCTGGCTCCCCAGCTCTGCTGGCCTTGTTCCCTGTCAGCCTTGACCATCAACTCCACTGTCCCCACACCCCTCTGGTCCCACTCCCCAGTGCCATCCCCGTGCTCCCCAGCAGGCCCTGCACCCCACTCCTCACCAGCCCTGCCCCCCAACCCCTCCAGCCCCTGCTCCCACCGAGCTCTGGTCCGTGACCCTGCCAGCAGGACACCGTGCTCCCCAGCGTAGAAGTTGAGGTTTACATAAGCGGATACAGTGAATCATAAAATCTCCCCATGAATGTAACTGCTTCTCATAATACCAGTGACATCTGCTTACCCCATAAATCTGTCAGAGCTAATGGATTCAGCATTTCTAATGGCACTGGCTGAGCAGGTAAGAGTGACATCAGAGGCCAGGATTGCTGTGATATACACTCAGCAAAGTGCCTGCTGTATAGGGCACACGCTGTAGACATATATGCCCCACACATGCCTGTGCCACTGCCCTCCCCATCGAGGGCTCGGGGGTGCCATGGGGTGTCACCCTCTGTGTCCCCCCGCATCCTCAGGGACAGGACTGCCTTCATAGGGATAGACCCTCTTCATTCACCATACCCGTAAAGTAATTAACTTCATTAATAACTACTGTACAGAGACAATACATTCCAAGTTTGAAGCTACACGGCAGAAAATAAACGCTGCCAGAGAGCAATTCAGCACCGAGCTCCCAGGGAGCGCCTGGCACCCACACGTTTTAAAGATTCGGTAAATCTGAGGCTCTGTGGCATTGAAAGTTCATGTTTTTTCTGTGCTCGCAGAGCTCCAAACATGGCAAGTAATCTCGTTCTTGCATACTTTCGCGCTACATACATCAAAAAGCAGGTGGAAATAGCCAAAACACACAGAACTTGGGCGTATTTTCCTTTCTAACATGCATATTCTCTACCAACTACTTCATCATGTAAATTCGTTGACCTGGAAGGGCTTAAATTCCTTGTAATAGAAAATGTTTGCATTGATAAAACTCGCACAGGCTAAATCATGATTTTGGGAACAGGAAAAAAAAAAAACATCTCCTCAGACAAGCCGAAGCAGAATCGGCCATATGTTTAAATAATGAACTGTACCATGTTATTGTGCCGCCTTCCCCTGCTCCAAGACTCCTCGGTGAGCAGCACCACAGCAGGAGAAGGCACAGGCTCCCTGTGACACTAGACCCTAATTTAAGCCATTTGGGGATTTCCAGCCTTGCCCGAGGTGGGGGCTGCAGGACCTGCTGTCCCTGGGACCTCCTGGCAGGTCTTCACCTCCCAAAGAACCAGCAAGGCAAGACCAAGAGCAGAAATCTACATTTGATATGGAAGGATTTCTTTTCCACAGAGCTGAGGATAAGTCCAGGCTATTCCCTGACTTTGTAATCTGGGTTCTATGTAATAAAAGAAAAATAAAAAGAATTAAGGATATTTCATACTAAGGAGAACAACGCAAATTAGGAAACTTCAGGTCTTACGTACAGAGCAAGCGAGGTTTGGTACCAGATACTCCCAGCTCTAAACTCTTTAACATTATATTTTTATTTTTTAGAAGATGAGATAAAAATACAATGAATGTTTTACGCATTCGACATGTTTTTTAGAATTTTTAGCAGAGTTGTGCAAAATAATTCCTCCTTCCCACTGGGGTCTTGCAGCAGGAGCTGCCTTTCTGCCTGGTTTTTACTGGGGTGAAAATACGAGCACGATCACTTGCTTAGGCTTTTTCAACACCACCATTTAGAGGACAATAGATGAACGATTTAAACGGAGATGTTTTGAAAACTGCCACTTAAAATATCTCTAGTCATCTCAATAGTAAAGAAAAAGTGACAATAAAAAGTTCTTCCCTTAAAATATCATTTTAAGGGAAAAACAGGTGAGTTCTACTGCTGTTCAAAAGCTGTGTTGACAATAAAAAGTTCTTGCTAAATATCATTTTAAGGGAAAAACGGGTGAGTTCTACTGCTGTTCAAAAGCTGTGTAGTGCCCAGTATAGAAGAAGAGTATTTCCATAGAAAAGCACTGTTGGCTGTTTCAGAACTTGCTTTTTTTGATACCAAACACATTTCCACTGGCCTGCCCACAGCTCCATCTGGGTCTTCAGACCCAGGGAGAGATACACCACCTGCACCCTTGGGCAGTTCTTTCTAAATTCTTCAGTGTCTTTTGGTCTTGACTAATCTAAATATTATTTTTTTTTCCACCCCTGTGAAATGTGGCTCTGGTGGTTGTGCCTCCCTCCAGGTGTCCCCACGTCTTTCAGCTTCTCCACCCTCCCTGCCCTCCTTCCACAGTCATTTCTGAACCTGCTGCTGAGTTTTAGCTCCATTTGCTCACCCAGTGAGTACGTCAAAGATACCACATTCCTATGAGTTTCAGGAAATTAGACAGTCAAGTAGAAGAAAAGACACTGTCTTCCTCGACACAAGACAGCCCGAGCTCAGCCCTTCTTAGAAACACGGTAACTGTCTCCTAAAACACTTCCTAAGTGACCCAGACTGGGGCCAATCAGCCTAGAAACCCCAATTCACACCAAACCATCCCTCCTTGGGTACGTGGAACTCCACAAACTCCCGCTTCGTTAACTTATTGGGACGGTTTACAAATAAATTGTGTAGCACTGGCTGCGATGCCACAGATAAGGCTAAATTTGCACCAGGTGCTTTTGAAAAGCTGCATGTAAAATTAAGATACATACTCCAAGTCCCTAAGGAAATGCTGTAAGATACACAGCCATCCAAAAATAACAGTCAGATTTAAAGCCAATTAGAAATTGCTCCTCGACGAATGTAATAACTTTCTGTGGGAACGATCTTAAAAGGGAGCAACACAGATTTTTAAACTTTCTAAATAGTCATTATTCATGGATAAATACCGCAATAA